AATTTTTTTTTTAACTAATAGTTTGGCAAAGGCCGCCCCTCTCTGGCTGTTCGAATCCATCAGCTGCTCCACGGGAAAAAAATGAGCAATCTTTCCCCGTTAGATTTACAGACTAGGAAAACCTGATGAAGCGTCAACTATAATTGTCAATTCCACAATGAGAGAAACCTATAAAGGGTAGGATATTACGTGTGCTGATAGTGTGCCGATAATGGAAGTCAGCAATTCCAATCCAGTCATTCTGCCATTTTCAACCTCCAAACCCCAATCGTAGGTCATAAGGGAAAGAACTGATTTGACAGTGGTGAATTTTAAAAACCTATTGTAATTTAATTTTGTTTCTGATTTTCTGAGCGCAATGGAGTCCTGCTTTGGAGAATCTGAACACAGCCATTGTTAGTACTATTGTTTGTTTTGCTATTCTTTTTTCTCTGATTATTATAATGTTTTTAAACACTTAATCAAGATATATAGTGCAACCAAGGTACTCACAGAAGCAAGGATAGTGAAACTTCATCTTGCATACTCAGAGCATGCTCATGGAGGGCCAGAGAGAGGGAGACTCCCAACAGGATGAATTCATACAGTAGCTGTAACAATAAGCTGAGGCATATCAGAAAAAGTGAAGATAGTGCAGGAAAGGGCAAGGTTCAGATCTTTTGTTCATAGGGCTCTTAGAGTTGTGATTGAATCCATGGCATCTAACAATCCCATTCATTGTAACTTCTGTTTGTAGAGTGGTGAACTGAATTAAAATCTACCTCATACAGTTATTAAATACATCTGGTACAGTTGACCAACTCAAGAAATTGCAGCTAGCTTAATTAAAATATTAACTTTATTTCATGTTTTAGATAATAAGAATGAGTTGTATATTTTCCATTATGAAATCGTTGACCTAACCTTATGAAGCTTGAAAAAATCAAAGTGGAGAAAGAAAATCCTTTCTTAGGTCTAATTAAATGGTGCTTTGTAAATTCTTTTTCCAATCTTTATTTGTCATTCTTTCTTAGATTACTACTTTTTTCCCAAACTACAAGCCTTTCTTGACAGCAAGTGACAAGCAAAATTACATCATATTGCAGTATTGCCTCCAAGTATTAATCTTAGCCTTTCTTTGATTAACTCTCTCCCAAAAAGCAAAAATAACATTTATATTATCTTTAGCAATTTTGGCAAGCTTATGCTTTTTTTTTTAACAGTTTTGTTTTGAAATAACTGTGCCTTCTTAAAAACTTCTACTTCTAGGTGTTGTTTTTAAATACGCCTCTTAGAAGGTAACACACTGTGTATTTTAAAGAATAATTTTCTAATAAAGATAATATGTGTTCATTACAGACAGTACAAATGAGTATGTCTGTGAGTTTTATATTGAAAGCTCTTTATTCTTCTTCCATGAAATATTAGCTATTATTGTTGTTGTTGATTGTTGTTTCACCCTCTCCAGGATGAATTTATTTGTTCTTCTAGTAGTCCATGGTATATTCAATACTCTTCTCCAGCACCACAGCTCAAAGACATCAATTCTCCTTCTATCATCCCTAGTCATTGTCCAGCTCTCTTATGCATAACAAGTAATTACAAAGACTATGGCATGTATCAGGGGCACCTTAGTCTCCAAACTGACATTGTTGCTCCTCAGTAAAGTACTGAGAGGTCTCTAACAGCAGACTTCCCCAATGCAATTCATCTTTTTAATTTCCTGGCTGCTGGTACCAAGAGTGTTGACTGTAGAGCCAAGCAAACTGAATCTGTCAACAATCTCAATCTCTTCACCGTCTATCATGATGCTGCCAATTGGCCCAATGGTGAGAATCTTTGTTTTCTTGATGTTGAGCTTCAATCCATATTGTGAAGGGTGCAGTCCTTGATTCTCTGCAGGAAGCGCTTCAGGTCCTATTCAGTTTCAGCAAGCAGGGTTGTGTTATCTGCATAACGCAGATTGTTGATGAGTCTACCTCCAATCCGCATGCCACACTTCTCCTCAATAGAGCCCAGCCTCCCGGATAATCTGTTTCACATATAGATTGAAAAGATATGGAGATTATATATTAGCTATTATGTTATTGTTGTTGCTGTTGTTGTTGTGTGCTGTCAAGTTGCTTGCAACAGTCCTAAACTCTGCTCCATCTTTTGCCAACCTTATCTTCTCTGACACGCCTATCTCCATTGCCCCAGTGACAGAATCAATACATCTCATCGAGAGTCTTCCTTACTCAATTCAGTTATGAGAGAATAGTATTCCACAATTTGTTTGTTTTTCTCTGATTTCTGATGGGTTGTTGTTGTTTATGTTGTTACCATTGAATCAGAACTGATCTGTAGCTCATCCTCCAATGGATTTTCAAAAGCAGTAAGTGGATCATGGATCACTCATCTTTCTCAGGCAGATTCCAAACATGGGCCATTGTGATTTTATTTTTTACTGAATAACTGGGGAAATAATAATAATTTCCCCCAGTAAGATTATTTTTATTTTTTGGGGAGATTGTTTATATTTTATATTTTTATATTTCCTAATTTTTAAATTTTGCTTTTTGGAGGTTTTTTTTTTTTTTTTTTGTTATTTTTTGGGGAGATTGTTTATATTTTATATTTTTATATTTCCTAATTTTTAAATTTTGCTTTTTGGAGGTTTTTTTTCTTCTTCTTCTCATTCTCATTGTGTTTCAGATGATCACTCTCATACATTGCGTCTGATAACATTAATCACTATTGAACTATGCCCACTGTTATCCCATCTTTTCAGACTCCCTCTGGACCTTTCCTAATTATTTCACCCCAAACCTCCAACCATCAAGCTCTATGACCCTGTGATACTTCCCCCTTCTCACTCTCAGACCTCCTGTTTCCTCCCTTTCCCTCTTTGAACGTTCACCCTTTTGGGTTTCTAAGACTTACTGTTAGGGTAGAGATTGCCCAACTTTCTCCCAAAGAGTCACTGGTGGATTCAAACCACTAACGGGGCTCATCCTGAAGTGAGCACCACAGCTTCCTACATGTTTAGCAATCAGAACTCTCTAAGCATAATTGTGTTATTGTGTGCCATCTAGTCACTTGCAACTCATTGTGACCATATGTACAATAGCTCTGAACTCGGCCATATTCTAAGCCAATCTCATCACCTCTGACAGACTTAATCCCATTTCTCCAGTCACTTAATCAATCTCATCCTGGGTCTTTCTCTCCTGTGCTTTCCCTTCACCCTTCCTAATATGATGTCCTTCTTCAAGTCTTGGTTCCTCCTGGCCACATGCCCAAAATATGTGAAACGGAGTTTCAAAATTCTTATCTCCAGGGAGCATCCTGGTTTTGTCCTCTCCATGACAAAACTGTTAGGTTTTCTGGCACATCATGGTATGTTCAACACTCTTCTCCAGTACCACAACTCAAAGGCATCA